TCAAGGTTCACAAATTCCTAAGTTCCAAATCTCAAGGTTCCCCAATTCTTAAGTCCCAAAATCTCAAGGTTTCCAAATTCTTAAGTCCCAAATTCTCTAGGTTTCCAAACTCCTAAGTCCCAAAATCTCAAGGTTTCCAAGTTCTGAAGTCCCAAAATCTCTAGGTTTCCAAACTCCTAAGTCCCAAAATCTCAAGGTTCCCAAATTCCTAAGTCTCAAAATTTCAAGATTTCCAAATTCTTAAGTCCCAAAATCTCAAGGTTCCCAAATTCCCAAGTCCCAAAATTTCAAGGTTCCCAAATTCCTAAGTCCCAAAATTTCAAGATTTCCAAATTCTTAAGTCCCAAAATCTCAAGGTTCCCAAATTCCCAAGTCCCAAAATTTCAAGGTTTCCAAACTCCTAAGTCCCAAAATCTCAAGGTTTCCAAACTCCTAAGTCCCAAAATCTCAAGGTTCCCAAATTTTTAAGTCCCAAAATCTCAAGGTTTCCAAACTCCTAAGACCCAAAATCTCAAGGTTTCCAAACTCCTAAGTCCCAAAATCTCAAGGTTCCCAAGTTCCTAAGTTTCAAAATCTCAAGGTTCCCAAATTCCTAAGTCCCAAAATCTCAAGGTTCCCAAATTCTTAAGTCCCAAAATCTCAAGGTTTCCAAACTCCTAAGTCCCAAAATCTCAAGGTTCCTAAGTTCCGAAGTCCCAAAATCTCAATGTTCCGAAATTCCCACGTCCCTAAATTCCCATATTCACAAACCCTTACATCCCCCACTTTCTAGGCCCCTAAATTAAATTCCCATATCTACAAATATGCAAATCTCAAGTCCTCCAAATTCCCACGTCCCGAAATCCCGAGTTCCCTAAATTCTTAACCCATGGCAAAATGTCCAAATCCCTCAGAATCCCTCAAAATCAACAGTCACGTTTTATTGGTACAAAAGAAGCTACATTTGCCATATTTTCCCTAAGTAAGCCAGATTTGCTGTTGTATGTACGCGTGAATCTCCCATCCGAGTTATGGTTCTTTTATGGCGTCAGAACGGATCCTCCAGATCCAATAATAAGAGGAATCATAGGAGATGTCACCTGGTTTGTGGCGGGTTAGTGGATCAAATAACTTGCTACGTGGTGGAACAGTGATACGCGATTCCCTCTACGATCCATATATTTTCCTTCGAGAACCGTAGTTAGAGATTGTAATTAAAGAATACTTTCCCTCGGGAGGAGATACGTTATTGATTAGTGCGGCATCCCTTACTGTCGAATCCCTTTGATCGACAGATTACGGCACGACATTCGTCACTGAATCAGAGAAGGTCAATCCTAGACATCTCGATTAGAATTTACAGTCTGTTAACCCATTTGCAACGGATGACGTACTGATACGTCAAAGCCGTACTGGCCATTTGCTCGAGTGACTGACTGCTACGTCAGAGATGCAATGAATAGCTTCGAGCAAACAAGTGTGTTACAGCAAGTAAATAACGTTTATAGCTTACAGTGGGTGGATTGATTTTTTGTATTTCAGATTTTTATTTTTAACGACAAACGTGATTGTTGTTGTTTAGTTTAGTCATTTTATCAGTACTTGTGTTGATAAGGTATGTGAAAAATTTGTATCATTTTATTCGAATGACGACAGTGTTTCCATGCACGACTTAAATTTTTTAGTTCTTCATTTTGTAATTGTTCTTATCTTTGTGATAGATCGGAAAATTTTGTGTTCATTTACAAGAGTATTTTTAACTTATTTATCCATTTAGGGCCATATATCGAGACTTCTGTAATCAAGTTTTTACCTTGCATATTCATTTTAATGAAATTATATCCACTTTTCCCCATAAAACAAAGTACTAATTTTAATCGATTTTAGTCTTCCAAAAATATCAAACAGGGCCATATATCGAGATCTCAATAATTGAGTTTCTGTTTTTCATATTTAATTTAAAGAAATCACATCCATTTTTAGTAACAAAGCAAGTTACCAATTCTAATAGATTTCTGAAAGTATCGTGAAGTGCCATATATCAAGATTCTTATAACCAAGTTCTTATTTTTTACATTCATTTAAAAGAAATCCATATCTACTTAAGAGTTGTAAAGCAAATTACACATTTTAATCGTTTTTAGTCTCTCAATATCATACAGAGCCATATATTAAGACTTACAATCAAACTTTCATCTTTTATATTTGTTTTCAACGATATCTGTTTTCACTTCTAAAGCAAATCCTAATTCTTTTTACATTGTTATAATACTTCTACATATACTTCTATATAACACAAATTTATTATCCTCGGCCATATATCAAAACTCCTACAGTCAAATGTCTATCTTTCACTATTATTTTAATCAAATTATATGCGCTTCCACTGATAAATCAAACTACTAATCTTAATTCTTCTCAGTTTCTCACAGATATCCAGAGCCATATATTAAGACTCCGCCACTATAAAACCTTAATCTTTACCATTTATTTGAAACAGCTATACCATTTCCATCCACGGAAGAGATTTCCTAATCCTTCTTATAGTTACTGATAAATATCGAGATTCCGTAGAATTAAATTCATTTATACGATACTTTCCAGAAAGTTATCCACTGCACCAGCTCCACATAACAGGGTCATATATCAAAAGTTTTTAATCCAACGATTATGGAGCACATTTCTTCAAAACAGTCGCATTCATATTCAATTACAAAATAAATTGGTCATCCTAATCGTCCTTAATTCTTCAAAAATATCATCCGGGGTCGTACATCAAGACTCTCATAATTAAACTTCTATCTGTCATAAATTTATTTAAAAAAAATCATGTACAGTTTCATTCCTATAACTAATATAAATAATAGTAATCCTTCTGATGCTCTTAAAAATTTCACCTAGGGTCATATATCAAGACTGGCATAATCAAACTACTGTTACAAATTTATTTTTTAAAAATCATATTTATTTCTATTCACAGTGCTAATTAGTAACACTAGTTCTTCTAATGCTCTTAAAAATATAATTAACAGTCATATATCAAGGCTATTGTAATCAAACTACTGTCACAATTTTATTTTTAAAAAATATTTATTTCTATTCACAGTGCTAATTAGTAACACTAATTCTTCTAATACTCCTAAAAATATAATTAATGGCCATATATCAAGACTCTTATAATGAAACTTTTATTTGATAAAAATCATAACCATTTTCACAAGCAAATCACTACTCTTACACGTCCTTATTTTATGAAAAACATTCGGGGCCATATACCGAGACTCCGACACAATAAAACCTACCCTTTCCCATATACTCGAAACAAGGGTACTATTCCCATCCACCGAGTAAATTTCCTAATCCTAAGTTCCCGTCAGGCACGAAAGTTCCGTCGGTACACCTCATTTCGTGTCGGACACTTTCGCCGACTGAGTTCCGGCAAACTGTCATTAGTTGGAGCGGAGCGTTCCCTCGACGGAGTGCAAGGAACGCAACAGGAAAAAGAAAGTATCCGAACGTCGGAAAGAAATAGCGGCGGTGTAGAGCGTCGGTAAACGTGGAGCGGGCGTCGATGGTGGATGCGGTGGAGGATGAAACGATGGTGGGTGGATGGGTGGGTGATGGTGGCGACGGTGGTGGAGGTAACGTAAAGGGGGCAGAACGTGGAAAAGGTAGGGGCAACGGGTGGCAGCGGAGGCGGCTCGTTTAGCACGCAGGATCAGCTCCGAGGGAGAAGCTCGGTCCGTCTCTTTTACCTCGCGCTAGGTAGTAGTAGCTCCGCCGCAATCGTACGTGCCACGGGTCACACGCGTCCGTCAAACAGTTACGTACAACCTACTAACATTCATTTTCGTATAACCGCGGATCGGAATTCGCCCGGTGCCCTCCTCGATCCTCCGACGCGTCCTCGGACATCCTTTCCCACCGTCGCCTCGCTTTAAATCGCCCGTCCATCGTGCAGATCTGGAAAGAATACACATGGGTCGACCGATTCGCGAGTCTCACAAAAGTTACAGCCGCGCACGGGCCCTCGAACGTGTCGCATTGTCCTCGGGAACGTTCGGACTACCTAGCCCGGACGGATGTGGTGACAGGAGGAGCCACACGCGTTCTTTCCAGTTTTGAACGGTGGTAGCCTCTCTCCCTCTCGATCTCGAGTCCGACATCGATCTCCTGTGAGTACGCAGCGAGGTGTTCGCGATTTTCGATCCGGAAGAAAGGAAGCCGAGTGGGTTGCGTCCTCGTGTGCGTCCGCCGGAGTGGGCCCAGTACGCACGCTCAGGAGGGACGAAGACGCGTCAGGACGTTCCGGGGACGATCTTCCGTGACGTTGTTGTCGTTAACGTTCTTTTCAGAGAGGGAGGGAGAAAGCTTACAGGTAGAGCGAGTCCGTGCCGCGGTCTAGTGTGCCTCTAGAGGCTCGTAGAGCGCGATACGGATCGGATAGCAGAAACGCGGGGCTAATTGCTGCTGCTCGGACGATTTTTCGACCAGCCGACGAAGGAGGAAGGGAAGAAAGGAAGTGTGCTCGTTTCGCTTATTCGGAAGAAGAGGATGTCATGGTGCGATCGGAGGATGTTTTCATCGGGTTTCTTCTCTTCTTCGCTCGTTCGGCCGATTAGCTCCGCGATCGATCTTGATTTTCTCGTAATCGTGCGTTCATCTTTTTCCTCTGGTTCGTCGTTCTTAGGACGCGTGGGTGTTCGACGAATAATGCGTACGGATCAGTGAACGGAACAGTGAGCTGCAAAGAGATTTGATCTACGTGGTTTGTGGAAAACGTGCGTGGATTTTCGAACGAAATACGTTCGCTTGGTTGTTTCGGAAGATCGCTGACTGGTTTCGCTATTGTTGCCGCGTTAATGTTGTGATCGCACGGCCTGCAGAGCTGTCAGACGGATTGTGAAATTTTACTGCCGTTCATCGGATCTCTGGTAAGCACGGTTGACGGTGGTGGAGGTAACGTAAAGGGGGCAGAACGTGGAAAAGGTAGGGGCAACGGGTGGCAGCGGAGGCGGCTCGTTTAGCACGCAGGATCAGCTCCGAGGGAGAAGCTCGGTCCGTCTCTTTTACCTCGCGCTAGGTAGTAGTAGCTCCGCCGCAATCGTACGTGCCACGGGTCACACGCGTCCGTCAAACAGTTACGTACAACCTACTAACATTCATTTTCGTATAACCGCGGATCGGAATTCGCCCGGTGCCCTCCTCGATCCTCCGACGCGTCCTCGGACATCCTTTCCCACCGTCGCCTCGCTTTAAATCGCCCGTCCATCGTGCAGATCTGGAAAGAATACACATGGGTCGACCGATTCGCGAGTCTCACAAAAGTTACAGCCGCGCACGGGCCCTCGAACGTGTCGCATTGTCCTCGGGAACGTTCGGACTACCTAGCCCGGACGGATGTGGTGACAGGAGGAGCCACACGCGTTCTTTCCAGTTTTGAACGGTGGTAGCCTCTCTCCCTCTCGATCTCGAGTCCGACATCGATCTCCTGTGAGTACGCAGCGAGGTGTTCGCGATTTTCGATCCGGAAGAAAGGAAGCCGAGTGGGTTGCGTCCTCGTGTGCGTCCGCCGGAGTGGGCCCAGTACGCACGCTCAGGAGGGACGAAGACGCGTCAGGACGTTCCGGGGACGATCTTCCGTGACGTTGTTGTCGTTAACGTTCTTTTCAGAGAGGGAGGGAGAAAGCTTACAGGTAGAGCGAGTCCGTGCCGCGGTCTAGTGTGCCTCTAGAGGCTCGTAGAGCGCGATACGGATCGGATAGCAGAAACGCGGGGCTAATTGCTGCTGCTCGGACGATTTTTCGACCAGCCGACGAAGGAGGAAGGGAAGAAAGGAAGTGTGCTCGTTTCGCTTATTCGGAAGAAGAGGATGTCATGGTGCGATCGGAGGATGTTTTCATCGGGTTTCTTCTCTTCTTCGCTCGTTCGGCCGATTAGCTCCGCGATCGATCTTGATTTTCTCGTAATCGTGCGTTCATCTTTTTCCTCTGGTTCGTCGTTCTTAGGACGCGTGGGTGTTCGACGAATAATGCGTACGGATCAGTGAACGGAACAGTGAGCTGCAAAGAGATTTGATCTACGTGGTTTGTGGAAAACGTGCGTGGATTTTCGAACGAAATACGTTCGCTTGGTTGTTTCGGAAGATCGCTGACTGGTTTCGCTATTGTTGCCGCGTTAATGTTGTGATCGCACGGCCTGCAGAGCTGTCAGACGGATTGTGAAATTTTACTGCCGTTCATCGGATCTCTGGTAAGCACGGTTCAAAATTATCTCGAAGACGGGAACCGACGGGGCCGGGATTCGATTATTTTCGGGCGACAACGTGGATTATTTTTTCTTTTCTTGACTTTGTTTTGCTTGAAGAGTTTAGGAATTTGGGAGCTGCTTGCGAACTTTTGAGTCTTGATGCTTTTGAATTTTTTAGGTTTTGGATATTATAGCTACAATATTTGGTACTTTGAAAATTTAGAAATTAGAGATTTTGTCATTTCCGAATTTTCAAATGACTATAGAGATTTAGAAGTTTGGAAATTTGGGAAGATAGAAATTTGGAAATTTAGAAATTGAGGTATATTACATTTTCAGGTTTGTTTTAGTATGAAGATATACTAAATTTTTGAGTTTTTTGTCTTTACATCTTTCAAATCTTGCATTTAGAAGTGACAAAATTTGGAGATTACAAAGAACTCAAAAATGTTTAAATTTGGAAATTCAGAAATATAAAAACTATCAATTTACAAGTCTGCTAGTATCTTAAATATTCAATTTCTTCAGTTTAAAAGTTATAAAATTTGAAACAGAAACTTGAAAATATAAAAATTTCAAATTGTTAGGTTTATGTTTTCAAGCTTCAGAAGTTGAGAAAATTGAGAAATTAAAAATGCCAAAATTTGTGAAGAGTGTCTGGAATTTGGAAAGTAAAAGAATTAAAAAGTTTATAAATTAAAAAAACTTGTATAATTTCAGAAATTAAAAAAATTATTAACTTAGAGAATTGAAGAATTTGAAAATTTAGTCATTTAGAAATTTGAAAAATTAGAAGTTTAAGAATGTGAAAATTTTACATTAAAATTTTCAGTCTAAAATTAAAAAATTTTAATATTTGGAAATCTAAATTTTGAAAACCTTAAAATTGAGAAAATTCAGTTTTATATTAAATATGATATTATCTGTAAACAGTGTATAGTGAAAATAATAGATTCCCTGATATTTGGGTGATGGAAGTTTGGGTGATTAGTGGTATTGGAGAGATGCTTATTATGAAGGCGATGCAAATCCATCTTAGGTTGAAATTATCAGGTGTATATATTAAGGAATTTAGCTTCATTAAATTTTAGTGAAACAATAATATGAAAAATTAAAAATTACATAATATTGGTAGCATAACCTCAATATAAGCAAAAGTCTGCAGATCTGTCTAAAGATCATTGCTAATTTCTATAATTCTCTTACAAGTAAGTTCTACTTCAGTTTCTAATGCTCAACGAATTCGACACAGTTCTCGTTTCGGTATCGTGCACAATATCCCTTGACAATTTTACTGTTATTTGAAAATTGATGGGATTTTAAAATTAACTCCACAACTCCTCTTTAATTTAACACTTTATTAACTACACGCTTTTACTATACTACTTATTTACACTATACGTTTTTATTATTCGCCTTCTGAATCTATTCTAATCGCCATGTGCCAACCGTCGCGGATCGGCAACCGTCTCGCGCGTCGTAAATTATCGAAGAATGCCGAATGTTTCCGATTGGCTCAAACGCGTCCTATCGAAGCTTGTAATTCCCCTCTTTTAATGTTTCTTTTGAACAAAAGTTAATTACGAGTTGTGGTTTATTTTATTGAAAAAATGTATAGCTCAGAATGATGTCAACGAAAATTACAACTGTAATGCATCTGAGAGTATCTGATGGGTAAATAATAAGGGTAATAATATGAAAATAAAAATACTCTACTGAGCAATAATGTCATCCCAATAAAACTCTTGTTTCCAAGGAATTTTATATTTTTTTTAAGTTCATAGAAATGAGACCCATAATAATTGGTAATAAAAGAGAAATCTTGAAGACAGAATTTAAATGTAAAAATAAATAAGATAATTTAGATCAAAATGACTTAAAGCAAATGCGAAAAAGAACGGCTGAAATATTATCCGTTTATTTTAAAAACCTTGTAAATAATATATTATGTAAATTGTGGTATAGTATTATTAAAAAATTACATTATTATATGTGCAACAACGGGATCATTTTCCTTATTTGCTGAGATATTTTGGTGCTGCATGTCAAGTGCACGCTACACTCTAAAACAGAGTAACATTTTTAAAATTAGACCAAACGAGTAAAGTTATTTTGAGAAGCACAACGGATTAGTTTACTAGATTACATACCTTGGTAGTTTTAAGAAAATCACTGTTGTAATAGAGAAGAAAAAGTGGAGATTCACGACCTTCTTAATTTGACTTTAATGAAAACGAAATGTAAATTTTTTGCAGATTTAAAGATATAAATATTACGAGTTGAAAATTTCATCGAAATTGATTTACACGTAACAAGCTTCAGGCATCGTAATATGTAACAGTGTTTCAGATAATTAATTAATTTCGTGATTACACTTTGTCGCAATTAACGATTATCGTTTGATTGATAATTTGGATTCAAATTAATTTGCAACTAATTTGATTTAAAATTTGATTGGAGCTTGTTGAACATTAATCTTAATTTGATTGTTTTTAATTAACAATTAATTTGTAAAAATTATAATTTTTCTTTCGATCTCGATATGTGTGAAAATTAATTTGGGTACTTGATTTAATTTCCCTGAATTATTAGCTGACACGTATTATTCTAATATTTGATCAAAGACGATGGCTTTGTTGTTAATCTAAAATTTTAAACAATAATAGTCTTCACATGTTCGTAACTTTATGTACAATATGTCACATTTATCTTTGTAAAATTTGATACATAAATTATGATTTACACATCAATTTTTATTTGTTGTATTTAATAGTAAACATTATTTAGTAATATTATTAATTCGAAAATAATTAAGAACACACAGTGAGAGAATTATAAAAGCAAGGTGTTCAGTATTGAAACAAATAATAATAATATCCTATAAATATGACTGTTTAACTGACAATTAAAACACTATCAAAGTTGATTAAATTTAATCAGAAGAAGAAATTTTTTAACCAAATCCTGAATAAACAGAAAATAATTTTAATCCTTGCTTAAATAAATTGGTAAATAGTAACACATTGGTGGGAGAATTTGAAGGCAAGAATAAAATCTTATTTTTTACTTTTTCTTATGGAATCTTTTACCAACATATTTGTGACATTTTTCCGATTAAAATGAGACCAAACACAACGTAGTTCGAAACATATTTATTTGTAATTTCAAGTTTACAATCGTAGTTTTAACATCATAGTTTTACAGTAGTAAAGTTTGCGGTAAACACTAGTGACACGTCGGATGACTTCGTTTCTCTTCGGCATTATTCGGACAATCACGTGATTAGTTTGACAGTCAAAATTACTTCTCTGGCTGAAGCGTCTAAATGCGGTTGTGAAGAGTGATTGAGGTTATAATAAAGTCACAAAATAAGTGAATCTCTTATTTTAATTTCTGCTGTATCCTGTAGTACCGACATTACCCGAAAATTCCCGAACGTAGAAAAGCAGCGAGCGACGGAAACGTCCGAATGACCGAAGGTAAACAAATAGTAACATATCAGTAAGATAATTCCATTGCAAGGATACTTTTTTATATTTGATTTCCTGGTATGAGACTTCTACCGAAATGTTTGTGACATTTTCATGATCAAACACGGCACATTTCAAAACATGTTTGTTTGTAATTGTAAGAGTTTCGTTTTTGTCAATACTTCGGTACCTTTCACCTACGAAAGAATGGTAACAAGCTAAAAGTATATGCATTTGCTCGATAAAAACCTTGTGGGTTTTAGGTTGATCGATAACACACGATTCTTTCAAGGGAATCATAGCATTCGCGTTCGTTGTCGCTCGATTTTTATCAACCGTATTTAGCCCGATTCTTATCAACCAACTCACGATCCTTTTCAATCCGTTGCGACATTATACGAAACAGAAAGTGCTCGGTTTAAATTACCTTGTCATTGTATCCGTTCGCAAATTGCCTGAAGAAAACGATTTCGTTCGAACTTTTTTGCCTTTGTAATGTATTGAGTTGATAAAAAAGTTATGTCGTTCTTATTAGTAAACGATATTTGTTCAGTTTATGTAACCACGCTTTCTCTTTTTTCCATATATTATATTTTACAAATACACGAATAATTGACCAATATTTTAATTCGTAACTTTTAATACTTTCTAGAAGTTTTAGTAATTTTAGGAATTTTAGGGAATTTTAAAATTTTAGGAATTTGTTGAAACTTTAGGGATTTTAGAAATATTAGTGATTTTTGAAGTTTTAGGGGTTTTAGAGATTTCGGAAGTTTTAAGGATTTTGAAGATTTTCGGAATTTTTTTAAATTTTTGGAATTTTTAAAATTTGAATGATTTTTGAAATTTTAGTGATCTTAGAAATTTTTGGAAATTTTTGAAATTTTACGGATTTGGAAATTCTAGGAATTTGAAAGATTTTTTAAGTTTTTGGTATACAATTTTTGTTAGAATGAAGGTATATTTCAGAAGACACATTTATTGGTTTGAATTACTTTTGTGAAAGTTTAGTGAGATTCTTTTATATTAAAATATGATATGCAACATGGGTCATTAAAATTACAAGAATTCTTTAAGACTGTGTAAAATTGTCTTCAAATTTTTAGAATTCCTGAAGTCCCTAAAACTTCTATTATAAAATTCCTAAAATTTCAAAAACTCTTAAAATTCCTAAAATTCCTAGAATTCCCAAATTCTTAAAATTTCTAAAACTTCAAAAATCTCTCAAATTCTTAGAATTTCCAAAGTTATTACTAAAATTTTGACGTTGTTACCAAAAGCTATTATTTACTAGAAGTCTGGTTTTATGCATAGATATTTTTTGAGTCCAACCTGTGTATCCACGCGAATATCCAGTTACAGTGTTTTATCCTTGACATCTGATCGATTATTCTTTTCAAGGATATGAACCTTCGATACAAATGATTGTCAGAAGTGGATATTGAATAATTCATCATAGTAATAGGGACAGAGATAAACACCATTGTTCACTTATAAATACAACTTACGTACAATGGATTAATAACTTTTCAA